TTCAATCGGGTTGAGGTCAGGACTCTGACTGGGCCACTCCAGAAGATGTATTCTGTGCTGTTGCAGCCATTGTTTTGTTGAATTACTTGTATGCTTTGGGTAATTTTCCTGTTGCATCACCCATCCTCTGCGGAGCTTCAGTTGGCGGACAGATGTTCGTACGTTTTCCTGCAAAATGTCTTGATAAAACTCTGGAATTCATTTTTCCCATCAATGACAACAATCCGTCCAGGCCCTGAGGCAGCAAAGCAGCCCAAAACCATGATGCTCCCTCCGCCATGTTTTACAGTGGGGATGAGGTTTTGATGTTGGTGTGCTGTGCCTTTTTTTCTCCACACATAGTGTTGTGTGTTCTTCCCAAACAACTCAATCTTGGTTTCATCTGTCCACAGTATATTTTGCCATTAGTGCTGTGGAACATCCAGGTGCTCTTTTGCAAACTTCAAACGTGCTGCAATATTCTTTTTGGACAGCAATGGCTTCCTCCGTGGTGTCCTCCCATGTACTCCATTCTTGTTTAATGTTTTCCTTATTGTAGATGTGTCAACAAAAATGTTAGCATGTGCCCAGAGATTTCTGTAGGTCTTTAGCTGACACTCTGGGATTCTTCTTTACCTCATGCAGCATTCTGCGCTGTGCTATTGCAGTCATTTTTACAGGACGACCACGCCTAGGGGAGAGTAGCAACAGTGCTAAAACTTTCTCCATTTGTAGACAGTCTGTCTTACCGTGGACACATGAACATCAAGGCTTTTGGAGATACTTTTGTTACCCTTTCCAGCTTCATGCAAGTCAACAATTCTTGATGGTAGGTCTTCTGAGAGCTCTTTTCTGCGAGGCATGGTTCACATCAGACAGTGCTTCTTGAAACCAGTAAAGCCAAAACAGGTGTGTGTTTTCTAAGGGCAGGACAGCTGTCAGCAACACATCCAATATCATCACACTGATTGGAGTCAAGGTTGGCTCACTCCTGGCTCCAATTAGCTGTGGGAGAAGTCATTAAGCTAGGGCCTCACATATTTTTCCTCCCTGCACTGTGAATGTTTACATGTTATGTGCAATTAAACCATGGCAACATCTAATGTTTGTGTAGTATTATGTTCAGCAGACTGTGTTCTTCTATTGTTGTGACTTAGATGATGTTCAGAGCACATTTTATGCCCAATTCATGCAAAACTCCACGTAATCCCAAGGGGTTCACATACTTTTTCTTGCAACTGTAAGCATTTGCGGTTAGAAGCGTTTTTAACTGTTCCATAACCAAATGCTGTCCAGAGCATTTTTTCATCATCAGAAATGCATGCAAAGCTTTTTCCCGGTACTCAAATGGATCCGCTACACCAGCGCAGTCAGTTTCCAGGTTTTGCGTGAAGGAAAAATGGTTAGAACGTGCCCCATTATGCTCATGATGGGATCCATAGTGAATACAAACAGAAAAGACAGGTCATCTCAACACATACTGCTCTCTCTGCTTCTGCTCTCTCTATTTCTCTTCAAATGTCTGAAATAGTTAATTTTTTACTGTTTTTCAGTGCATTCTGGGCATTTTGGAAGGTCTCCTGATGTTATCTTTAAAAAACGCTTCTAAATGCAAATGGGCATAAACACGGTATGTAAATGCGGCTAAACAGACGTTTTTTAACCTACGTTTTCCAGCAGTCAGTTTCCATCGTTCAGAAGTGTTTTCCAAACGTCTCGTGTACATGGAGCCCGAACACTATCCTCATCTCCAACATTTATACCACTGTTACTATCTGTCATTACAGGATCATTCTACTACTGAACTACTTTAAGGGAATCTTACACCAATCAGTGAGAGAAGTGCTAAATCTTTATTTTGTCTGTTAGCCCACTGGGAGCGATTACCCTAAGGAGCCTTCATTTACCCCTAGACACAGCCACACTTCTATCAGGCCCAACGAGAACGCTGAAGAGAATACAGAGCTCTTAGGACCCCCAGTCACACTGGATGCCAATTGGCATGCAATTTGCATGCCATGCGACTTACGAATCGCATGCCAAATCGCAGCCTATTGTCCGCAATTAGATCGGTGATATCGGAGAGGTTCTGACTTGGTCGGAGGCACATCGATTTCTAAAGTAATACATGCACTACTTTTGGTGCAATTTGCATAGATATCTGTATCAGATGTGTTGCAAAATCGTACCTGAAATCGGCATGTCACCCGACTTTGAAATCCTGCAACTGTAAGTCCCACAAATTCAAAGTAGGGTTTGATGTGACCGGGGTGTTAGGGAAACATTGTAAATGATATACTGAAGTGTTTCTCTTTCACACGTAACCCTTGCCATCCGGATCTGAGGACCCTTTGTGAGCTTATTTGCAGCTTAGTATTAGTTTCTGCTCACTGGGGACCCATCAGACTCCTCGGAAAGGAGGTAGTGGGTTATTCCTGAAAGCAGGCCTGCCTTTAACCACTTGCCCTCCAGAGGACTGACCCCCCTTAATGACCAGGACTCTTTTTGCTACTTGGTGCTGCACTAATTCAACTGATAATTGCGCGGTCATGCAATGCTGCACATAAACAGAATTTACGTCCTTTTATTCACACAAATAGAGCTTTCTTTCAGTGGTATTTGATCTCCTGTGCGCTTTTTATTTTTCGCGCTATAAACAAAAAAAGACCAAAAATTTTGAAGAAAAACAATATTTTTTACTTTCGGCTATAAAAACATATATAGTAATCTCAAAGTTATTTATAAATTTAGGCCAAAATGTATTCTGCTCCATGTTTTTGGTAAAAAAATCCCAATAAGTGTATATTGATTGCTTTGTGTGGAAGTTATAGGGTCTACAAACTATGGTATAGATCATGGCCGGATCTAGGGGGGTGCTGGGGTGGGCTTTGCCTCCCCATATTTCAGTGGTGCACCCCCCCCCCCCCCCCCCAGGACCAATGACACATCATTGTGTGTGGGGCGCACTGTGCCCTCTCACACACAGAGAAATCCATAGCTTGTCAGCAGTGCAGCATCATCTCCCTGTCACGGCCGGAGTTTCAGGCTGGGAGGGGGAGGGGGGGTGCACTGCCGATCCTGTTACTCAATGTATCACTCTCACCAGTTCTGTCAGCGAGATAGAGAGACACAGGATCAGCAGTGCTCAGTACAGTGTGCTGGATGCATGGAATGGAGCAGGCTGAATCTGCCCCGCCCCCATCCTATCCCTGTTGTGTCTGCCCCGCCCCCATCTATACCTACTGTGTCTGCACCGCCCCTTATCCTATCCCTGCTGTGTCTGCCCCACCCCCCATCCTATCCCTACAGTGTCTGCCCCGCCCCCATCCTATCCCTACTGTGTCTGCCCCGCCCCCATCCTATCCCTGCTGTGTCTGCCCCGCCTATACTCAACACCCCCCATGCACACACAGCACTGACAGGGCTTGCGGTGTATGTACAGGCTCCAAGTTGGATTACATAAAGAGTGCAGGAAGTACTTTAGATCTTGGCTGCCTGAGGGAGAAGTAGTTGGTAAGTGCAGACATACTGCCCCCCCCCCCCCCCCCCCTTGACATTTGTTGCCATTTTCAGATATCCCTCCCTCTGCTCTTCTGATTGAAAAACACTTACTCCTCTGAAAATCAATCCACTCACAGATTACTCTTCAGAGGCATTTGACATCTGTTTGAACCCCCTAAAAGCTGCACCACCCCCCACCACAAGCTGCATCATCCGTCTGCTCCCAGCTGCAGAATCCGTCCGCTCCCAGCTGCAGCATCCTAGCTCCCCTTCCCAGCTGCAGCATCCGCCCCCTTCCAGCTGCAGCATTCGTCCGCTCCCAGCTGCACCATCCATCCACTCCCAGCTGCAGCTCATGAGGCCCCAGGCAATAGGGGATCATGGGGCCCCTATGTCCTTGCCCAAACTCAAAAAAACCTATGAAAAAGGTACCAGGCGCATCTCGTGGGGCCCCCCTACTGACTCCCCCTCTTCGCCCCCCCGGCCCCTTAACCCCTCGGGCAGTGCCGAGTTTCCAAATGTCAGTCCACCCCTGCTCTGTACATCCCTCTGTGTTCATTCTCTCCCCTTCCCCCCTGCCCCTTCCCCCCTCCCCCCCCCCCCCCCACCTTTCCTTTCTCTTTCCCCCCCTCTTTCTTTTTTTTCCCCCATTGTCCATTCCTCCTCTTGCTCTGCCACCCTCTTTCCCTCCTCCCTCCACCCCCTCTCACTCCCCCCCCCCCCCCCTTTCTCTTTGCTCCCTTTCTCGCAGAAGTTGGTCTAAGGATTGACTTTTGTTGAACGTAAATGTTGGAAAACTTTTCTTGATCATCTGCTGCAGCCACTGATCAGTGTATTGTGACAGCAGAGCATTCTCAGGATACAATAGCACAGTGAGGAAGATTCCTCCATCCAAGTGAATCCACCCCTCCGCTAATAGAAATAAAATACGACTCATTGCCATCTTTACTCCTACTCCTGCCCTCTATGTACCATATTTTTTGCTCCATAAGACTCACATTTTTCCCCCCATAAAATGGAGGAAAATGTCTGTGTGTCTTATGGAGCAAATATGGAGCAGCCGGCCCGGTTTTATTACCCCCGCTTGGCTCTACTATGCAGAAGAACCTGTTCCTCGGTCCAGCGGGTGTCCTGCTTTCACCAGCCGTCTTTTCTCCCTGATGCCGTCATCTTCAGTGTGGACAGACGGCTGTGACAGCTTGCGGCTTCACAGCCGGGTGCCCACTGCGCATAATGCGCGAAATGGTCCAGCAGTCTTCTGGGACCTAACACGTGTCCCACAAGACTACGGGCAGGGAGAGGGGGGAGGACAACTCCGCAGAGAAGTGGGAGGTGGGTATCAAATTTGGGTAACTGCCGCCCCCCTCCCCCCAGCTCCTCAAAGGTCTGCAGTCTCTGGTCATATCCTGTACTATGTCCTCAGTCTCTGGTCATATCCTGTACTATGTCCGCAGTCTCTTGTCATCTCCTGTAGTATGTCTGCAGTCTCTGGTCATCTCCTGTACTGTGTCCGCAGTCTCTGGTCATCTCCTGTACTATGTCCGCAGTCTCTGGTCATCTCCTGTACTGTGTCCGCAGTCTCTGGTCATCTCCTGTCCTGTGTCCGCAGTCTCTGGTCATCTCCTGTACTGTGTCCGCAGTCTCTGGTCATCTCCTGTACTGTGTCCGCAGTCTCTGGTCATCTCCTGTACTGTGTCCGCAGTCTCTGGTCATCTCCTGTACTGTGTCCGCAGTCACTGGTCATCTCCTGTACTGTGTCCGCAGTCACTGGTCATCTCCTGTACTATATGTCCGCAGTCTCTGGTCATGTCCTGTACTATGTCCGCAGTCTCTTTGGTCATCTCCTGTACTGTGTCCGCAGTCTCTGGTCATCTCCTTTACTATATGTTCGCAGTCTCTGGTCATCTCCTGTACTGTGTCACCCGCAGTCTCTGGTCATCTCCTGTACTATGTCCGCAGTCTCTGGTCATCTCCTGTACTGTGTCCGCAGTCTCTGGTCATCTCCTGTACTGTGTCCGCAGTCTCTGGTCATCTCCTTGTACTATGTCCGCAGCCTCTGGTCATCTCCTGTACTGTGTCCGCAGTCTCTGGTCATGTCCTGTACTCTGTCCGCAGTCTCTGGTCATCTCCTGTACTATGTCCGCAGTCTCTGGTCATCTCCTGTACTGTGTCCACAGTCTCTGGTCATCTCCTGTACTATGTCCGCAGTCTCTGGCCATCTCCTGTGCTATGTCTGCAGTCTCTGGTCATCTCCTGTGCTATGTCCGCAGTCTCTGGTCATCTCCTGTACTATGTCTGCAGTCTCTGGTCATCTCCTGTAGTATGGTCCGCAGTCTCTGGTCATCTCCTGTGCTATGTCCGCAGTCTCTTGTCATCTCCTGTACTATGTCTGCAGTCTCTGGTCATCTCCTGTCCATTGGTTCAGAATATTTTTTTTCTTGTTTTCCTCCTCTAAAATCTAGGTGCGTCTTATGGAGTTAAAAAAATAATGGTATATATATTGTACATGACATAGGCCTGACCAAGGTGTTCATTATCTCAACAGTTGCTGGCTTTAATGAAGTTCTTTAAGATAGTCTCAGTGAGGACAAAATTATACATTTTTGTGTGCAGAGAAAAGCAAATGTAAATGAAGAGTTTTTTTAAATAACCCTTTGCACCCTATTATCCACTATTAGAGCGGTCATATCGGCTGCGGTTTCCGACTTGGTCAGTAGTACATGTACTACTTTTGTTGCAATTTTGCATAGACATCTGTGTTCTGATGTCTTGCAAATTGCAAACTAAAATCGGCATGTCACACCGATTTGAAATAGTGCAACTTTCACTGTAAGTCGCACAATTTCAAAATCCACTTTGATGTGACCGGGGTGTTAAGCCATTGCCACTGTTAGGCACAACCTGACCATGAAACCAATCTTGCAATGGTGTGCGCTACATGCACTGCTGGACTTATTTTCTGCTCACTCTCCTCTTCCTCAGCTGGGATTGAAGGTTGAAAAGCTCTGGCCTAATACAGTACATGTGCTTCTTCATTGCAGCTACATGGAGTTGTAGGGAGCTAAGAGAGGAGAGGAGAAAATGGTAGTGTAGAAAACTGGGATAAAAAAACAGGCGCTCGTGGAAAATGCTCAGACAAGCACCTTAGTGAAGTGCATCTTTAATGGGTGAGACAAAGTAGCAAATATAATAAAATTGGACCAGCCTGAAGTGAACAGTGTGACTCCAATGGGACGGCCCGTCCGCTCTGAGGGAGCTGAGATCAGAGAACGCTCCTGTCGGCTTCAAATCACGTGGTGTCAGCGTACCAGGCGTCCTGGTGTGGTGTCACCATGGCACAAGCGAAGGCAGTGTCCGGCGTTTGTTGTTGGCTTCAGCTGGGAGCATATGTTGGGTTACAAGACGACATTGTTTCACGCAGTTTGCGCTTTTTTGTCAAGTCTCTGGTAACCCTGGCTGGCGGCCATTATCCAATAGAAGGGACCATTAAAGGGAAGGCTGTTCTCACTGAGTGTAATTTTTAGCAGGGATGGGGTGAGGTGTCTCAATCAGAGCGGACTAGTGGCTCGTCTCCTGAAGCAATGCTGAATACAAATTTAAGGTACAAATTGCAAATTATAAAAAGTGATATATATAAAAACAATATTGGAAAGCATGAATTTACCTTTATTCTGCTTAAAGATAAAAGTATTAACAATAATAAAAAAAAAAAAGACAAAATATAAATGGCCCCTTCCTACATTTGACGACAGAATATGGTATCCTACAGATGCAACAAAAGAGGTTGTCTCACCTGTCAGTCCATCGCCCATGGCAGATCACAGTTTTTGGACTCCCCAGGCAAACAGCTACTACAATTCGTCAGTTTATAACGTGTGCAACTGACCACGTCATATACGTGCCTCACATGCCCATGTTAAGCTCCTATATGTAGGCCGAACCACACGCCCTCTCGCCAAAAAAACAAACGCATAGGGGAGCACAGAAGACTTAATTATAAGAGATGGATGCGATAAGCATAGTGTCCCCAGGCACTTTTTGCAATCCCATCAAAATAATTTTCAGTCTTCTTGAGGTCTTAGCAATCGAACATATTCCAAAGGGTACATTTACTGACAATGAAAGATTAGCCCGTTTATGTAAGAGAGAGACGTTCTGGATCTACAAATTAGGTTCTATGACCCCCAATGGTCTCAATGAGGATCTTGAAATCCATAAGCATTATTTAAACAAGTATGACTTCTAGTCCCACGGAACTGGGATCCTACCAGTGTGGTTTTTTTTTTTGTTTTTTTTTTTTTTTTTTTTTTGTTTTTTGTTTTTTTTTTTTTTTTTTTTTTTTTTTTTGTTTTTTTTTTTTTTTTTTTTACATACAGTATTGTCCTTCTATTTAATACTTGTTTTTTAAACTGCACTGTTACCATGTATATATTCTGTTTACTCAATTACGAATACATGTTATTACGCATCTATTGCGTTTATTTAATTACGAACATATGAGCTACTAATTTGATACCTGTATTGATTTTATTATATTCCTTTTAGCCATACCTTTTATACCAGTCTCATTTTCCAATAAGCCAAAGCTTTCACTTCTCCCTACTCCCTTCTTTGCCATATACCCATAATACCTCACTATAAAGGCAATTTTTGACATAGCTTCCATGAACCAGCGATGTCATTTTTAATAGTTAATTATAGTTTTTTTTTTTGTTTTTTTTTTTTATTAATTGTATATACCTTTATTCTGCTAAAGATAAAAGTATATCATGCTTTCCAATATTGTTTTTATATATATCACTTTTTATTAATTGCAATTTTGTACCTTTAAATTTGTATTCAGCATTGCTTCAGGACGAGCCGTTCCGCTCTGATTGACACCCGCCATCCCCCTGCTAATTACACATCAGCCAGCCTTCCCTTTAATGGTCTTTATATAATGCCGCCGAGCCAGGGTTACCAGAGACTTGACAAAGCGCAACTGCGTGAAACATGTCATCTTGGGGTAACCCTACACATTCCTCCCTCCCAGCTGAAGACAACGCCGGGCACTGCCTTCGCTTGCCATGGTGACACCACCCAGGACGCTGGTACGCTGACACCACATGATTTGGAAGCCGTCAGGAGCGTTCTCTGATCTCAGCTCCCTCAGAGCGGACGGGCCGTCCCATTGGAGTCACACTGTCACTTCAGGCTGTGTCAATTTTATTATATGATGCTACTTTTGTCTCACCCAATAAAGATGCACCTTCACTAAGGTGCTTGTCTGAGAGCATTTTCCACAGCGCCTGATTTGTTTTTCCAGTTCTCTTCATCATGCAAATGATTAACAATCGGGCAGCAGTGGTGAGCTCATGATTTAACTGTTTCACATGTTTCCACCTGGAGTGACCTCTCTGCACTCATTTGTATGAGTTTTCTTAAAATGGTAGTGTGTAGACATTATGCCCTCCTGACTTTTTTTACTGCACCCCCATATCAGACAGGCTAGATCCGGCCCTGGTATAAATACTGCAATTTCACCAACATTGTTTTTGCTATACAGCGGTGGTACTAGTTTAACGGACAATTGCGCGGTCATGCAATACGGGTACATAAATTAAATTTATGTCCTTTTTTTCACACAAATAGTTTTCTTTTGGTGGTATTTGATCATCTGTGCGCTTTTTATTTTTGGCGCTAGAAACAAAAAATAATTAGAATTTTTTTTTAAAAAAAACAATATTTTCTCATTTCGGTCATAAAAAAAAAAATCCAAAAAAAAAACTAAAATTGCATCATAAATTTAGGCCAAAATGTATTCTGCTACATGTTTTTTGGTTATAAAAATTCCAGTAAGTGTATATTGATTGATTGGTTTGTGTGTGAAAGTTATAGCATCTACAAACTGTTGGTATAGATCATGGAATTTACACAGCTTTTACTTTCTGACTGCTTATCACATTTCATGAGGTCTTTAAAATACCGGGACAGTTACAAACACCCCCAAATGACCCCTTTTCGGGAAAGTAGACACCCTATGCTATCTACTGAGAGGCATATTGAGTCCATGGAAGATTTTTTTTTTTTCCACAAGTTTCTGGGAAAATGACAAACATTTTTTTTTTTACACAAAGTTATTTAAATTATTTGTTTTCTTGCACAATCCATGGGTATATGTGGAATTGCACCCCAATATACATTCTGCTACTTCTACCGAGTATGGGGATACCACATGTGTGAGATGTTTTGGGAGCCCAGCCACATACAGGAGCCTGAAATCCAATGACCACTTTGAAACCTGGAAGGTGCGTAACTTCCATCATTTCACTTTCTCACTACCTATCACAGTTTTGGAGGCTCTAAATTGTCAGGATAGCACCAATCCACCCCAAATGGTCTACTTTTGGAAAGCAGACACCCCAAGGAATTTAAAAAGAGGCATGGTGAGTATTTTTCAGATCTCATTTTTTCTCACAAGTTTTGGATTATAAAAAAAGAAAAGAAAAAAAAATAGAGATCTGCAAAATACTCACCATGCTTCTTATCAAATTCCATAGGGGTGTCTACTTTCCAAAAAAGGGTCATTTGGGGGGGTTTGTGCTATTCTGGCATTTCAGGGCTCCAAAACGGTGATAGATAGTCAAGAAGGGTAATGAGGAAATAATGCCCTTTAAAAGCCTGAAGGTGCTTATTGGATTTTGAGGTCCTGTACTTGGCTAAAAGGCCAAAATGTCTCTCACATGTGGTTTAAAATAAATAAATTCTTCTATTGATTCAACATGCCTCTCAGCAAACAGTTTGGGGTGTCTACTTTCCAAAAATGGGTCATTTTGGGGGGTGGGGGCACTCTTTCTAACCATTTGAAGATCAAGCCTTTTCTGACACTTTTTAGTCACATGAAAAAAAATCAGTAATTTTTTGCTAGGAAATTAATTTAAACCCCCAAACATTATATATTTTTTTAAAGCAGACACTCTAGTGAATAAAAATTGGTGGGTGCTTACAATTTTTTGTCGCATAATACTCGCGCAGCAATTTTTCAAATGCAAATTTAAAAAAAAAAACTTTTTTTACTTTT